TTAGTAATAATAATATATTATTATTTATATATAGCAGCTATACATAAGTCTTAATACCCCATCAACCCTCCACATTTAGCCCATACAGACACTTAAATGAATGGAAAGAAAATGATTTCATTTTTGAAATAGTTTTATTTAAACCTACTGTACACTATCTTCTGAAGTTTTTGATTCTCTGATCTGTGTTGGCGAAATGACCACTTTGTCCACCGAGATGACCACTGTTGTGATATAGTATGTTACAATAATACATTGAATTGAATCCACAGGTTGAATGAGCTTCATTTCAACACTGGCTTTCTGTTTATGTTAGTGCAATATAACTGTGCGTTGATATCAAAGGATATAAAGTTTGGCCAGGACAGCCTTGACAGAGTTCTCAGCATCTAAATGGTATTCTCCTGGTTAAAGAGGACGAGGTAACTCTCTGGACCGGACAGGCCGTCTCCGTGGACAGTGAGTCTATCAGGAGGTGCTGTGATAACATGTTTTTTCAGCGTGTCATCATAGTCCTCTGTGACAGCCAAGGACACATCGACTGGTGCCGTCGATGCTCAGGCTGCCAGCTCCGTCTGCTGTCACTCAATGAATCTATACGGCTGATCCAGGCCGGGACACGCCCAGCACCCCTGTCCCAGGCACATCAGTCAGGAGAGGGGCACATGTCCACAGAGCTGGACACTAGACACTACACAGCAAAAATAGCAATTATAGTTAATAATTGCTTGAATTGAGTGGTTTTTATATTAATTTGAGTTCATTCAGACTTCTTAAAACCAGATTTGCCGATGGTACAAAGCCATTTAGTCTTATTTCAAGTTGCTTTATTGCAAGGGAGACATTTCTTGCATATTTTTATTTTTATATTTTGTATTTTAGATAATTCTGCTTGTAATATTGGCAAATCTTGTTTTAAAGCAGTCAACACGTGACTTGGTTAAAGGCCTGTCCAAAGTCTACACAGAAAAAAAGTGATGAAAAATAAGTTAAAAATTGCTCAAATATTGCAAAATGTATCTAAATTTGAGCAATTTTTGACTTATTTTTTTCAGCTCCTTTTGAAGTGTGGACTCTGGACAGGCCTTAACCCAAGTCATCAACCATGTGTGGAATCTGATCTGCATGTGTTTGACTTAGGACAAACATGAAAAATATTCAAGAAATCAGATTAAAATAGTTTAAACACATGGAGACCTCAGATATATCTGTATTGCTACTTAGCATTAAAAACTCAAGGTCCCACACATCATATAAAAAAGCTTTTTCTTCTTTTGTTCTATCTTAAAAACAGAGAAATAAACTTTCAGGTTAGTGCGTGAGATGGTTCTGTCTGTGTCATGAGGGCAGTTTTTGGTGCTACTTGTCACTAGAGTTTCGCTTTTCAGCCCGAGCCCGAGCAGGCCCAAGGCCCGACCTGAGTTCGGGCCGGGCTCGGGCCTCATTTTGGCGCTCAGCTGTCGGGTTCGGGCCGGGCTCGGGCTTCTTTTTTTAAAATATATGAAAAAAAATTATTATTATTATAATTATTTTTAAATGATTTTTATACATAATGATATGCATAATATATATATATATATATATATATATATATATATATATATATATATATATATATATATATATATATATATGCATATCATTATATTAATATATTAATAACAATGTCCGTTGATTGACAACAAGTTATTAAAAAAAGTTAATATATTAATGACACCGTAACCAGCGTGTCCTACAGCAGCAGCGAGCCGTGAAAGCATCATCCCCGTGTCTCCTGCTGCATGCTGTGGTCAACAGCGAACAGGAACAATAGTAGAAATGGATCAAGTGGAGACAAAACAAATTCAAAAGTGGAAACTAAACTTGCAATTGGAAGGTGAGTGCGTACAACAAGGAAATCAGATGTGTCGGGTTCTGTCGGGCTCGGGCCTGTTATACAGCGTTCATTGGTTGGGCTTATACGGGCTAGGGCTTAACATTAGCGGGCTCGGGCCGGATCAGGCTTCATTTTTCAGGCCCCAACGAAACTCTACTTGTCACTCCCGTATTTGTCCTGGAAACCGGATTCGTCGGGAAGTTCAGTTTGCGCATGTCAAAAAGTGCTTAAATGGTGACTGGTTGAGTTTAGGTGTCTAAGTAAGATGGTTAAGGTTAGGGTTGAGGCTGGGTTGGGGTTATTTTATTTCATGAATAGGTAGTTTGTTATATTTACTTCCTCTTCCGTCCAGATTCCGTGACGTAATCTACTGCTGCGTATGCTCATTGGATCAAACTGAACTTCCGGACGAATCCGGTTTCCGGGACGAATACTTCCTCCTCTGTCTTCCACTTCCCTCCCCTTTTGTGTCTTTGAGTCTCCTCCCCCATTTCAGGTGCCTGCTGTGAGAGCCCACCTGTCTCCCATCAGGCCGATTGCGGAGAGTATTTGTATGCTGGGAATCCACTCAGCCACTGCCCTTGACTGCGGTTAAGCAAGGCATTTTCTGAAACTTTTGAGAGACTAGTTGTTTGGACTTGTTTTAACATGTTTTTTGTATTTCCTCAGGCGGAAGACCAGCTTGCCCATTGTTTATTCCTAGAGCTTGTTTGGAAATGATTTTTGTTTCTCCAGTGTTTTTTGCTAGTTTACATTTATTTGTTACTCCTTGGATCAGCGTTTGGAGAGAATTTATTCAAATCACAACAGTCTCTTTCCTCGACACATGTGAACATAATATGCACTCCACAGTTGCAAAAATACTGTATGTTCTTGTTTTTATACAATTAGGCTATATCCACACGAAGACAAAACGCTTATAATTTCAGAAACTTTTTCTGTAAACACGGAGTTAGCTCAGTAAATGTGTGCGTCCATATGAATGTAGTCAATACGCCTGAAAACGCTGTGAAACTATGCCAGACCTGTTGGTGGCGCTGTGACGCAATGACGGGATCAAGCCCAAACTTCCGTGGGCATGCGCGGAATTTTGTAAACAGACAACATGGCGAGTGGGCGAGCTGGTACTACATTAGTATGGACGGACGATGAGGTTGAACTGTTGCTTCGGGTCACACTGGATTACAAAACCAACAAGCTACATTGTTGTTGTCATTATTTTCTGAGTGCGGCGCATGCGTGCTTTAACAAGAGGCGGGGCGATGACGCAAGCGTCTCAGATACATTGCGGAGAGGCAGTAACCACGGAGCGGCATATACGGAGTTTTGAAATCTTTCCACTCTGGGACCTAGTTTCAAAAATGTTCGTTTACACCCCCCCAAAACGCCGGCCTCGTATGGACGATACACTGGATTGATAAAGTATTTTTGCGTTTAGGCCTGAGCTTGACTTCGTGTGGACAGGGCCTTAAAGCGGTCAAACAAAATCTTCCAAATAGCATCAGATATTACTTCTTTTTCATAAAGGTCAAACTTTAGATTAGCCCTCTTTAATTAAGAGCTATAGGTGCTAATTAGTGTATAATGTATGGTTATTTAGATCTTAATTTGTATTTATTAATATGCGTTCTTAAAGACCTTATGACGGGTTTAAAAAAAAAAATAGTGGATATCAAAATTGCATGACAATGTTGATTTGAAAGAGATTCCGGCTAAAAAAAATCCTATATTTTATAAAAAGAACGTGTTTTTCATGAATTTAAGTTGTCTATGCTCTAACCTGTGTGTGACGTCATAGCGGGTTACGCCCACGCATTGAAAACCATGGATCTATGCCACAGGACTGCCTTTACTCTCTTCTCTCCACTGATGCCCAACACAATACTGCACTCTACAGGTGACAATTGCTCACTACACATAAATTGCCGTTTTGAGTGTGAAAAAGTGTCCGAGGTGGGATTTGAACACAAGTATCTGGATTGGCAGTCCATCGACACGACCACTGGACTATCTCAGTGACAACAAAATGTTACATTCTAGTAGTTATCTAATACTCGCTGTACACGGCCTTGTCATCTTGAATATCCGCGAAAAAAGAACGAATACCAAATTGTAAACAACTTACAGCGTTGAAACGTACCCGTTCTGACGTCACCAAGGGCTGTGAAGTTTTTTAGTTTCTAAGGGCGTTGCTATGGGGTTATTTCGATTTGGGGGGATCAGACAAAAAAAACAACAACTGATTTTGAAACCTTTAGTAGTTCTCTTCTAATATAAAATGGTATTAAAACTGTATTTCTAAATAAATCAAACCCGTCATAAGGTCTTTAATCAACATGGCCTTATTCAACATCCAGCTAGCTACTAACTGACACTTTCCCATGCCCCATGTGGGTTCGGGTACACTAAATAGCACATAATTAGGAGTTAATAACTGAGGGCTAATCTAAAGTGTTACCATAAATAATCCATGTTGTCTCTTGAGTAAAATGTTGAAGGAATTGAGACCACAACATGCTGTCATCAGTTCATTAGAAACCATCGTATCTCTGACACACTTGTAAGAAAGATTACTCAGAGTCACATTTTCACTCTTTGGGCAACAACGCTGCTAAAACAATCCATGAGGACCCTGCGACAACTAAATACAGTTACTGAATTCTTCACTTGCCAAAGACACAAAGTAGATACATTTTGAACTTCGTTTGAGGTCGACACACACAGACGCCTTATCCTTGGATATAAATTCTGATTATAAGAGAATTTTTTTGTTTTTGGGTGAAAAATCTTTTGTTTTATTTGTTATCTTTGTCAGTGTCTTTTGTTTGTCCTGGTTTGTGTTTTTGTTTTTCTTGTATTGCTGTGTAATTGTCTGTCTTGATTTTCAGTGTCCTTAAAAAGAAAATTTTTTTTTTGATTTTTTTAGATCTTTCCCAGCACTATTTATATTGTGATAAATATCCTTATTGAGATATATCCTTCTCATATTCTCATATTGTTTTATACAGTATTTAGCCATATCACCCAACCCTACTCCAGGTGTGGTGTTGATGAGGAACTACCACTATAAAGGTGGACACATTTCCCCACGGCAGGTTGTATAAAGGATCTCCTAATCTCCATCTTAAAAGCTGATTTCCAAGTCAGCACAGACAAACTGGATAAGTGGAGGAGCTGGGAGCAGGGTGACTGACAGCTGTGGACTGGGGCCGGCTGGAGAGGAGGAGGAGGAGCTGATGAAGACTGAAGCCCGGACATGAGAGCTCTTTGTGGGCAGGACAAGTGTGTTCAGCCCTGTCAGTCCTCCATCCACCCGACCATCTGCGAGTGGACAAACATGCAGGATTATGAAGGACAGCTCTAGGACGCATGAGGAGCCCATCACAGAGCACAGTGCCAATCTGAAGCTTAAACTATGTTCGGTAAAAACACTACAGTTTTAGAGCATTTTATAAGATTGAATCAAGATTTGAAGACTTGGAGTGATCTGAAGGATACCCAAAACATTGTACCCACGCCGTTTAAAAATCAACCAAATACTAACGAAATGTTCATGGACACGAGGGCTGGAACATGTTCAATAATCAAAGTTAGCTAATATATAGTTATCATTAAATCTTTTTATTTACTACTCTAATATATAGCATAGTCTGTAGGATGAAATGAAAAGGTGTCAAACCACCAAATATGTAACAAGTCTATGAAGATGTTCTCCAGGGGCATCACCTGAGTTTTGTTTTAGTCTAGTGACAGGTCGGCACTCGGACTTGCAGCATAAATTGGATGAGAGCTCGTAGCAAGATGGCGTCTTTGTTTGGTTGTGCCTCTGCTCATCAGCAACAATGTCTGCTAGTAGTCCAAAAATCTGCTGCAGGCTTTTGACCCACACCCAAAGGAGAGCTCACATTACTCCAATCTGGCTCCTGTTTCAAATCGAATCGATTTTCAATTCTGGTGCTTTTTCATGGTCAGGCGCCTGAACACATCAAGGGCTTGATCGAGCCGTATGTCTCCAACAGGAGCCTGAAGTTCTCCACTCAGAACTGTTGATGGTCTACTCAGAACCTGTTCATGGTCCTCCACCCAGAACTTGTTGATGGTCCTACACTCAAAACCTGTTGATGGTCCACCTCTTAGAACATGTTGATGGTCTTCCTCTCTGAACCTGTTGATAGTCCTACACTCAGAATCGGTTGATGGTCCTCCACTCAGAACCTGTTGATGGTCCACCACTCTGATCCTGTTGATGGTCTTCCTCTCAGAACCTGTTGATGATCTTCCTCTCAGAACCTGTTGATGGTCCTCCTCTCAGAACCTGTTGATGGTCTTCCTCTCAGAACCTGTTGATGGTCCTCCTCTCAAAACCTGTTGATGGTCCTCCTCTCAGAACCTGTTGATGGTCTTCCTCTCTGAACCTGTTGATAGTCCTACACTCAGAATCGGCTGATGGTCCTACACTCAGAACCTGTTGATGGTCCTACACTCAGAAATGTTGATGGTCCTGCACTCAGAACCTGTTGACCGTTTGTTTGGACAGGATTTCTCGCCTCACATCACACAAACCTCTGTGAACTGTTTCTGTATTTTTGTTTTTGAAACTGACTTATGTGCATTATTTTTCTCTGTATGTTTTAAATTGAAGTGCTTTTGTGTTTGCACAGACTTTCTGTCCTGTCCTGAGTGATTTTATTAATGCTAAATGTGACATGTACATTTCTCCATTGTAAGATCAATAACGTTCATCTTATCTTAATCTGGCCTGTGAAAGGCGTTATTCTTGGGTTTCATATGACGTCAGGGCACTGGCGCAAATAACAAACATAGGACAGGACGTGGCGTACTCTGGCGGTGCAGTCTGCCGGGTTTATACACGGAGATTCAGTGGAAGAAGCGCTGTCAAAAGGCCATCTTTTTGTGCAGTGTACGCTTGTAGCAACCGCGCAAATAGAGAGAAAGACAAGAATTTCTTCCGTGTTCCAACTGTGAGCTCATATAAAGGACTGCATTTTGAAAAAAAGCACTGGAATGAGGCGAGCGAGGTGGATCAAGGCTTTCCCAGATAAGCGCCCCCTGCAGGCCACCCGAATGAAACGCAGCAATTTTGTCTGTTTTTCTTTCCAAAAATGCCTGAAATCAAGACTCTTTTGAGAATAATTTTTTAGTACTCCCTTAGAATTGAGTATCCCCGATTAAAACTGTTATAACAACCGTACACCGCACTGTTGTGAAACCCAAGAATACATATACTTTACCTACTTACTTACGTACTAAAGAGATGCCCTGTCATGTTATATCTATTTTGAAGCTAAAGTCCCTCAAGAAAACAACATAATTTAGTAACATTTGAACCCAAAAAGTAATTGAAAAACAAGGAAAAGTGTTTTTTCTGAACTTTTAAGCTTGTTTTATTTATGCACTTGTCTGGTGCACAGTGGGGACTTTTGCACATGTATCCCAATGGGGTTTTACTGCAAATGGCAAATAAACTGAATCTAATAATGACAGAGAATTGTCACCAAAAACAATGACTTTGGCGTTGGTTCCCCAAAGTAGAGCAGTGAAAGTAGGTCGAGCGTTTGGTGATGGATCTTCTTCTCTTGGACCAAGTGGACCCCCGTTGTTTCTGTGGAGAAAAAGGAGAGATTGCAGCTTTAAACCCAAATGTACTGCCTCAAATCCAGAAGGATGACTTTTACTGCATTCATTAGTTTGGTCCTGTGTGGATATCTGAAGCAAAGACTTAAATTGTGTCATTTTTAATCAAAGGTGGCAGTAAAATGGGCGGGGAAAGGTGGTAGGTGAAGAACAGGCTCGCTCCCCCAGAGCAAACACTTCCTTTCACACAAACGTTTAATGTTTTTGCAGAGGCATGTTCAGACTAGAACACCCAGGGCAGTCAATTTGACGTCTCTGGGAGTTCTACAAGTTTCATAATTCTGGGATTGTCATTATTAATAAAAAAATGTAACATCAATTTAGACACAATACAAACAAAACATGATGTTACAAAAGAAGGGAGAATATGTTGCATAATGACAGTGTAACAAGCAGTGACAGAAGCTTTTGCACTCGCTACTGTTGCTTTTATAAAGTTGTCTTTGTAAAAAAAAAAATTATACTTTTATGTTGAACATTTCTATATTGCTACACCTGGTGAAGCTTACCATTGTCCATTAAAATGTGACTTTTGAAAGTCTGATTTATTTTTTATTTTATTTTTTTTGGCGTGTTTTCATTGTCCCTATGGTGAGAAGCCAAACAAAAAGCCTTGAAAAGCCAAGTTGCCTTTCTTTACGTTAAAAAAAAAATGGAGACAATTTTGATTAATACAGTGTTGACAACTACAGCGTGTGCGGCGTCACCAAAGGTTCATTGGCTTATGTGTAAATACATTTGACAGCTTTGTGCTCTGACGAAAGTGTTTAAAGTGTTTTTTGCTCTTCTTTCTGTTTCACAGTCCATCGTAATCATTTGTGTGATAATAATTTGGTTGATGCACCATAAAACACTCAAAACTTGTCAAAATCTAGCCATTTTTGCCTGGAGGTGACTTCGCCTCAATTGAAAAAAGCTGATCTATGATCCTGCCCATGTGCACTCTGTCGGGTATTGGATCTGGAGTTTCAAGCCAGAAGGGCGTATATTGAGAGGAGAAGAGAGCTGCAAGTATTTGAAGTGTATTTGTGTTACCAAGAGATTCTTCAGTTATAACTGTTGGCACAACATGTCAAGCATTATAATTAGTATTTTAGTTTGAAATTGTTGGTGTTGTGTGAACTAGGGATAATTTTGGATCTCTCCTTGTTGTCATGGCTCAGTCATCCAGAAAGCTCCTTTTGTGGTAGGCTCCATTGTAATGATGTAGAACTGGAGGTTTCTTTATTTGAAAAGGTTTTCTTTTTCTGACAGCAATTCATCCCGTCTGCACTTTCAGATGAGGTACTTTTTATACACAGTTTGGCGTCTGTGACAAGCAAAACTGCAGCATTATCCGTTATGTGGCTATATATTAAATCGTGCCGATTCCGGGCTTTGCTATACGAGCTCGGCACATGTGCCGGTGTGTCGTATCCGCATCACTAATTTTTTCCATGTTCCTTGTCTTCACTGCTGACCCCTTACCCGTTTTCTGGAACCACCTCTGTCCGGGGTGGTCCCTGTTCCATTGTGACATGGAGCTTCGCGAAGGTTCACTCTGGTAGACTGATTGCCAAAGCTATCCCCTCCAAGCCTGCCTCTCATCCTCGGCCTATTGCACAGCAAACGCCCATTCCCAGCCAACCTATGCAGGCCAGGCAAGCAGCTTAAAAGCGGAGACTCCCACTTCACGGCCTTCTCAAGCCTCGCAAACCACCGCCTCCCCTCCTCCGCCTCTCTCTCCTTGCTCGAGCGTGCGCTCTTTCCTGCTGCCCTAATGCCACCCCCAGTTCCTAGGCCTCGGGGGGATCGTGCGCGCACTAAGCAGGAGCCTCGCTGGCCCTAATTGCCGCACGGGGGCCTAGGACGCCAAACTACCTATCAATAAAAACATTCAAACTGCATTTTGTCTTCTGAGTCTCTCCAGATTGAACTAATGAGAGGTCAACAGTGAGGTCCAGGTCTGGAAGTTCATAGCTTTGCTTGGTTTTTGCCGCCTGCTGCCCAACGATGACCATTACTTTGCCCTCACCTGTTGCCACCACCAGACAACGATATCTGTCTGGGGTTGTTCTGTTCCTGCCACTGTCGCCGCCGGGCATACGCCTCTGTCCAGGGTGAGCTGTCCCCTGCTTCATAGACCCTTGTGGAAGGTCACCCTTGGGCTTCAGCCCCTGCCTCTGAAGAGCCTCTGTCCCCTCCACCGGACCCCTCAACCCTCCTTGGTTTGTGTTTATTTTGTTGGGACATTTGGGAGCAGTCCCTTGGAGGGACATCAGTTCTGTGTTTTTTTCTTTTGATTTCCTGTCCTGTTCCCCTGTGTTGATCGTTTGCCCCACTCTCATGTGATTCACCTGCAGGTGCATGTGTCTCTCTGTGTCTGTATGTACCTGTGCCCTTCCACATTTGTTGCTGGTTCATTGTCTTTGTCTGTCGTTTTCCTGGTTACCGTTTCTGGTTGGATTTTTGAGTTTGAGCTTCCCTGAACTTTTGTTCATCATAATTAGATGATATTATTTTTGCATTCCTGCATTTGGGGTTTTCCATTTCACCACATGACAGGTCCTGGACTGGTTCTAGACTGGTCCTGGACAGTTAGCTTGGTTTTCCACCGGAGAAGAGCAGGTGCAAGTTGCCATAGCTCTTTAATGTCAGCAGTTAGCTTGTAGCCTTTAACATTAGCCTTTCAACAAACTGTTTTTAAAGTGTATGTTAGCAGGTTCAAGCCATTATTCCAAGTGGCTA